ATTATTAATCCAAATACAGGAAAAAGAGGCTAAAACAGCACCTGGACATGGATGGCTGGTGCCTCTATAAATAAATCATTGATGGTCAGGTCAGGTTTTCGAATTGAAAAAAGAGTACCTTAGATTAATCTTCAATTTCCATAATATTTGTTCAATTTCCCTTTAAACATTGTTACATGTTATTATCTAAAGCTCATTACAAAGATAATACATCACTTTGTAGAATGCATGCCTCTTTTTCTGCAATAGCCTACTGCTGTGTTGGCTGGGACTGGGGTTAGGGAGTGCACAAAAAAGGCTGGGGGAATACAAGGCCCTCTCTTCCAAACACCTGGTTAATACAAAGCCCTATCTTCCAAGCACCTGGTTAATACAAAGCCCTATCTTCCAAGCACCTGGTTAATACAAAGCCCTATCTTCCAAGCACCTGGTTTGGAGAAGTTTGACATTAACTAAAAAAAAAACCAACAGCACGAGTTTCACAACTTATCTTATCCAGCTTTTTCGAATTCAGTTCTTTGAATTAGGTTGCTAACGACTTCAACTAATCTTAAGATTTTGATACATTAGACAGAACACATATGTGAAGTGAGCTGACAAAATGAGTTACTTCTCGGATTCAAGCCTTATGGAAATAGAAACATCATGCTTATAAGGGAAGTTTTACAATTTGTAAGTATTAAATAATAAAAGGTATGTTGTACATACAAATAGAGCATCAATAGAAGATCTACTAATTTGACCTCGATGTAGATTTTTAGCCAATATCTCCATTTGTGGATTGTGAGAAGTAACTCATTTTGTCAGCACGCCACACATATCGGTTTCTGACCTCATAGTCTTAGGAACTCAAAACGGCGGCCAGAAATGTCAGAATGTCGTAATTTGTTGATTATGTCGGGTGTATGTCGGCCGTGTTTCAGATGGATGTCGGGCAAATGCTCGTAGGATGTCGGGCAAATCCCCGTGAGATGTCGGGCAAATGTCCGTAGGGTGTCGGGTAACTGTCTGTAGGATGTCGGGCAAATGGTTGTAGGATGTCGGGGGCAACTGTCAGACAGAGGTGGGGCGGGTGGGGCGGCCAGGGAAGAAGACGAGGGAGTCGTCTCTCTCGTGGGAGCTGATTGCCTGGCTGGATTATACCGGAAGATCGTGTCAGCGCATTGTCGCTCCTGGTTCGCGCGCGCGCAATACAGAGAAAGGTCCACATCTTGAGATTATGTACTCCTCTCCTGAGGGGGGGGTTCCCCCCACTAACATCTTGAGGAACTGACTGATTGTCAAAAATTTCCAAACGGGGAGGGGGTGTCCCACTAACATCACTAACTAACATCATGAGGAACTGACTGATCGTGTAACATTTTCCGAACGAGTTCCCCCCACTAACAGTTTGAGGAACTGACTGGTTGTCTAAAACTTTCCGGCCACGCCCCTAGACGAATGGTCAATTTTACAGATTAGTTTGATTAATTTATTTCCTATTTGATTTGAGGAAGCAAACGGTCTTAGAAAGCAAGATTGCATGTGTGTGGTTAGCGGACGCTCTGGTGACGTGTTTTCCATCTTTCCTATCGATCATCTATTGTTGTTATCTCTGCTGCTTTTGTTTTACTAGAGGTTTTACGGCGCTCGCAACTGCATAAGGTCATATGAGCGCCAAACCTTTCTTCCAATTTCTGCGTTTGTTACTCTCTTGATGTTAAACCTCTATAATCTTCGGTACTTATACGACTTTATTGTGTTGGAAATGTGTCCCGTGCGCTCATAAGACTATAACCTTATGCAGTTGACAGCGCCGTAAAACACTTACCATTTTTTTTAAAAAAAGGAAACGCCGTAAAAAGCAAAAAGTGCCGTAAAACGCGAACAAAAACTACACTAGACGTATGCTACATTTGGAGGCAGAAGGGCGCAGTCAGTGGCACAACCCAGGGAGGGGGGGGCACGAAGTCGTTCGTACAGGTGACTGCCTTACGACGCGGTCGTCAGAGAGAGAGAGAGAGAGAGAGAGAGAGAGAGAGAGAGAGAGAGAGAGAGAC